TGGAGACTTGAGGCCATCTTCTTATACTCTGTCATCCAGAGGGGCAGGTAGAGCTGACGTAGGTTGACAGGTAGAGCTGGCACAGGTAGGCAGGTTCCTTGAGGTAGGTGGTGGTGGTTATGTGCCATGGAGTCGGTTCCAAATCACAGTGACCCTGCATAGGATTTCCGAGCCTGTAAATCTTTACGGGAGCAGAAAGCCTCATCTTTCTCCCGCTGAACAGCTAGTAGTTTCGAACTACTGACCATGAGATTAGCAGCCCGATTTGTAACCACTATGCTATAGGAGCCTAAATAGGGAGAAGAACATTTGATCCATCCTAAAGAACTTAGGCCATAGTGCTGTGAGTGAATGAATGTTGGATATGTCACCCCCTAAGAGTGTGGTGCTGTGGGATAAAGCACTGGACCAGAAGGTCGGTTTGAACCACATAGTTGGCAGTTCAAACTCACCCGTTACTCCTTGGAAACCGTATACAAGGTTGCTATGAGTTGAAACTGACTTGACAGCATTTAACAACAACAACATGAGTGTGATATAGACAGAGGAGAGGCTGTACAGTGGACAGCATGAGTTCTGTGTCTGCTGGCACACATTTGAGGTGCCACCTAGGCTAGAAGACACAGAAATCTTCCATTCATCTTTCTCCTTGTCACTGTCAGCAAGCCTAGCACCCAGCTCCACTCAAATACGGGTTCTGCTATGAGCACTTTGTTTCTCCTCCCCACATCATGTTAATATTAGGTGCCATCGAGTTGGTTCTGACACATAGTGACCCTCTACACAACAGAATGAAACACTGCCGGTCCTGCGCCAGCCTCACAATTGTGTATGTGTGTATGTCTGAGTCCATTGTGTCTGTCCGTCACTTTATCAGTCCATCTCATTGGAGCCTTCCTCTTTTTTGTTGACCCTCCACGTTACCAAGCATGATGTCCTTCTCCAGGGACTGGTCATTTCTAACATGTCCAAAGTACTAGAGATGGAATCTTGCCATCATTTCTTCTAAGGAGCAATAGGGCTGTACTTCTTCCAAAATACAGTTGTTCATTCTCTGGGCAGTAGTCCACAAGTATTCTTTGCCAACACATAACTCAAATGCATCATTTCTTCTATGGTCTTCCTCATTCATTGTCCAGCTTTCACATACATATGTGGTGATTGAAAAGACCATGAATTTAGTCAGGCCTTAGTCCTCAAAGTGACATCTTTGCGCTTTAATGCTTTAAAGAGGTCTTCTGCAGCAAATTTGCCTAATGCAATGCATAGTTTGGCTTCTTGACTAGACACTGGGATCCAAGTGTTGAACCATGAGGTCCCTGCCCTCACTGACCCTATATTCTGTCCTACAAATCTTCTTTTTCCTATACAGATGTTGTCTAAGGCTGGGTTCTCTAGAGAAGCAAAACCAGTGAAATTTGTATATGCATGTATATAAAAGAGAAGTTTATATTATAGTGCCTTACAGTTATAGAGGTGGGAGAGTGCCAAGTCTGTGTTAGATAAACTAAGTTTGGCAGACAGGCTGGCAGACAGGCAGCTCTGGCAGGCAGGCAGATAAAGCAGGCCACTGGCTCAAGTCTAGAGAACGGGAGGTTAAAGAACATGCCAGATGTAAAATCCAGACCCAGTAGAAAGTGAGCAAGCTTTGCCTAAGTGTCCTTTATACTGGAAGCAGGCCACACCCCCAAGGAAACATTCTTTAAATTGATTGGCTACTAATAGACAACCATCACAGAGTTAATTATACTGTACTACATCTTACCCTGAGGATGAAACCACAGCTCAACTGCCAAACCACCTGGCCCAGTCAAGGTGACACAAAACTTTACTGTCACAGAACCAAACTGGTTGCTTTTGAGTCATTTCTGACTTCCAGTGACCCCACATGTGTCAGAGTAGGACTGCGCTCTGGAGGGTTTTCACTGGCTGATTTTTTGGAAGCAGATTGTCAGAGCCTTCTTCTTCTGAGTAATTTCTGGGTGGACCTAAACCTCCAGTGTTCTGGTTAGCAGCCAAGTGCTTAGCTGTTTTTGCCACCTTACTCCTATAAATGGAGTCTTAGTGTGGCCCTGTAGGATAGTCACTGGACTGACTGCTAGCCACAAGGGTCATCCACAAACCTACTAACTGCTTCTCAGAAAGTCTGTACTAGGTTGTTATGACAACCTCTATAAACCTTCTCAAGCATTTCCCATCCTTAAAAATACGCCCCGCTTGCTCTGTGTCCCCTTATCCATTCTTCACCCTTTGCACTGGAATCGCTTTTCACCCACTGCCATTGGAGTTCTGCACCTACCACTGCCCTAGAAGTGCTGGGTAAAGGAGGTGAGAGACTGCCCTAGCACCACATCCATTGAAAATTTGCAATTCTTATTTTGACCTCCCTCAGAGCCCTGAGGGCCCAGTGGGTTAAGCATTGGACTGCTAATCAAAAGGTCAGCAGTTGGAACTCACCAAGGGCTCCACGGGAGGAAGATAAGGCAGTTTGCTTGTGTAAAGATACACACTTTAGAAATCCTGGGCAGCAGTTCTACTCTGTAGAACAGTAGAATCACTGTGAGTTGGCATGTAGGCCACAGCAGTGTGTTTGAGGTTTCTGGACCTTGGAGTGTACCAACCGCTTCTTCCTCAAAGATTCTCCTTTCTGTTTGCTGCTGTGATGTTACTCCTCATCCATCTATTTCTCATTGGTTCTTCACAGTCTCCTTTGCTTCCCCTTCATCTACTTGAAAGGAGCTCTGGTAGTGCAGTGGTTACGAGTCGGGTTGCTAACCTCAAGGTCAGCAGTTTGAAACTAACAGCCATTCCGCGGGAGAAAGATGAGGCTTTCTGCTCCCATAAAGAATTACAGCCTCGGAAATCCTATGCAGGGTCTCGATGAGTTAGACCCGACTCCACTGCACATGACCACCACCATCTACCTAAAATGCTTTTGTTCTTCTGTGTCTTGAATATTGATCAGAATTTGTGGCACTGTAGGTCAATGCGCCGGACTGCAAAGTCAGTCTGAACCAGAAGGTTGGCAGTTCAAGCTCACCAGTCACTCCTTGGAAACCCTGCACAAGGTCGCTATGGGTTGGAACTGACTAAATGGCACTTAACAACAACGACATTTCCTCAACACAAAAGAGTCACAAGGGCACCTTGGCCCTTCAGTGCAGGGTTGGGACTTTTCACCTGTCCTGTCTTGTTCTTGTAGTCTTTCTCCTGCTTTGTGGACCACTTTTTTTTCTATACTAGAAACAACGGCCTTTTCTTGTTAGACCCTTTCATTCTCCAACCTCGTACAGTCCACGTTGTCCTCAGGTCCTGTCAGTAGAACGTCCTCGCTAACGCTCTCTTTTCTCCTCTCCACTCCTAGAATACACAGAGACTCTCTTCATGCAGTACCTGAGTTACAGCAATTGCTTTTTAGTCTTTAATTCAAATTTCACTTGTAAAACATAAAGGAATCCCAACAGAAGTAAAACACTATCCCTTCCCTTGAGAAATTCAGGGTTGTGGCTGCTTAACAGACATACAAGCAAACACTTTACAAGGCCACGTGGCTTCTGTGCCAGGCAGGTGCCCCGTGAGGTGAGCTTGGGGTAAAGGTGGCATTGATGATGACTGTGCTTGCTTACTATTTTCTTGGAATGCGTTTTTGCGTTCTTTCTTGGTGCACGCACGTAGATTTCCAAGATCAAGTTTCTGCCAGCTGTAGAGGTTTTGGCGGTTGTCTTTAAGGAATCATTCAGTTAAACCTTGATGGAAGTGACTGCAAACACATTCTTACACAGGATTCACACTGCATGATTCTGACACCCTGAGTACCTCCATGAGTTAACATAAGGCCCAACTCAAACTAGACTTGAGTCTTCTTACAACTTAGCTTAACCCTGGAAACATCCAAGATCCTACAGGTTGTTGTAGTCTTAATTCTTTTTCATTTATTCAGTATTCTATAGGGATATGCACATGATCAAAGTAACCAGACCTAAAAAAATGAGGGCGAGATTTGGGGCAAGGTGACCAGCTAGTTCCCTTCTGTCATCTTTGGTACTCTCTGAACCTCCCATGGCCCACCCCTGCCCTGTACCTAGGGGGCCAGCCTACCTGACCTGTCCTCTTCACCCTGGGAGAAGGCAGAGTCTCCTTTAGCTGCATCAAAGGTGAATACTCTGTGGGCTCAGTCATTCCAGTGTTGCCAGTAAGGCAGGTTTTCTCCCTTTAAACAAATAATCCCTGCCCAGAGAAAAACAGCTTGTCTTCCAGCAAATGGGAATGGAGAACTTTCCTCAGAAACGGTCACCAGCAAACTGTGCTCTCCAAGTAGGTGTGGAGCTGTCAGTGAGAGTCAGGAAAGAATGCTCCTGGACCTTCCCCGTTCTTCCTTCACGATGGCCCCGTTTCCTCAGCTCTGAACTGGACCTCTGGTAGCGTAGTGGTTATGAGTTGGGCTGCTAACCTCACGATCAGCTGTTCTGAAACTACCAGCTGTTACACGGGAGAAAGATGAGGCTTTCTGCTCCCGAAAAGATTTACAGCCTCAGAAACCCTGTACAGGGTGGCTATGAGCTGAAACTGACTCCACGGCACATCACCACCACCACCCACCAAACTGTATCTTGGGAGTTCTTCTGTTGTAATTCCTCCGGCCAGGGCTTCCTGGCTCTTTGCAGAGCTGTCTCATTTGAATTGTGCTGTTTTCGGGTTAGCAACAGCTTAGCGTCCAGTCCCATCCCAGTCCCTGATCCTGATGTAGCCACCATCGGTGACTTTAGATGTGTGTTTTCCGTTTTCTGTCTCCTTCTGATAGAATGTCAGCTCCATGAGGACAGGAACCTTGTGTGTAATGCTGGTTCGGCTACATATCCCAGGCCCTCCCACCCCCTCCCCAAGATCTGAGCTTACTGGGTCCTTGAGACATGGTGTTAGCTGAATAAGTGGTTAGAGTACGTGGTCACTGTGGTCCCTGGTGTGGTGGGTGTACTCACATCTGTCTGTCTGTCTTTCAGGAGCCCAGCAGCCCGGGCCGCCGTATTATACTGATCCGGGAGGACCGGCCATGAATCTCGTCGGGAATCCCATGGCGACAGCTTTCCAGATCCAACCCAACTCACCCCAGGGAAGCACAGCCTACCCCCCACCCCCGTCCTACTGCAACACGCCCCCGCCCCCCTATGAACAGGTGGTGAAGGCCAAGTAAGCGGGGGCCGGCAACAGCTGCCCGTGTGAAGGGGGCACCACGTTACAGACAGGAGGGCTCTGGGTCTGAGAGACCCTGCCCCAGCCTCCTCTGTCCCCATCAATGTTCCTGTGAGGAGGGCTCTAGCAAGTTACTAAGGACCAATTTCTCTCTGATCTCTTCAAAGCAAGCACAGCTCCTTTTCAAGTTTTCCACGGAGGCCCAGTGTTTGATTCACATTGTGTCTCCTCTCACTTCTGTTTCTAATGTCATCTGTGCTCTCTGGCAATGTGGTGACAGTCCCCAAGGGTTGCAGGTCTTAGGGTGGTGAACCCAGATCTTCAAAAGAGAGACTGGGAGAAAGAGGAGCAGGTGGAGTCCATGTGAGTAAGGAGGATACGGTACCCTACCCTAGGCCAGCTGGACAAACCTCACTCCACCTGACTCATGGCAGGGAGGGAGGTAGACCAGCAGCCTGTGTGTGGAGCCTTGTAGGGACTGACTCTGAGCCCCACAGCAGCTGGACTTCTTCTGTAGGACGTGCTGAGACACGTCTCGTAGGACCTTTTCTGTAGGAGACATAAAACACAGAATAGAGCTGCAGGCTCTGCTCTGTACCCACGCACACCTCGGTGGTTCCTCCTGAGACCAACCCCTCTGTGCAACAGGGCTGGGGACCACATCCAGGAGATGAACCTGAATGTCTGCAGCTACCAGAGATAACCCGTACAGAACGGTTCTTAAACATATGAGAAATTGTGCTCCCTGCCCAAACTGCTATGTTTTATGAGCTCTTGATCGGACTTGGGAGGAATAGACCAACAAACAAACAAAAAACGTTTTCCCTGTTATTTCTGGCGTGTTAGAGGAAGCACTTGTACAGTGTCCCGCCCACTGAGGCTGGGTGAGGAGTGTATCTTTCAGGGATGCTCAGGGCCCCTTGCTCTGTCATTACAACCAGAGACTCCTGCTACTTCCAAAGGCAGCTCCGAGCTGGTGCGTTTGATGGACACTTTGAAAGCAGGACTGCTCTACTCCGGGCCATGCCTAGCAGGGACATCACCTGGACTTCAGGAGGGACAGTCGGAGAGATGTCCTGCAGGAACCTGGGGCAGCGATGGTGGCATTTCATCTCAATAATGTGTGTGTGTGTTGGGCTTTGAGGAGTGGGAGCAAGCTGAGAAAAAGACGAGGAAGCAGACATCCCAGGGCAAGCAGGGAGACTTGTTTAAAAAATATTAGAAGGAAATTTAGTGACAATTTAACAGAATTAGGTTAAAGATGAGGTGGTTAGAAATGTATATCGCTGGGTAAGGAACATAGGTGACAGTACACAGGACTCTTCTGGTCCTCAGCATAGTTAGTAGTACTGATAGTTTACCTAAACGCAGATGTAGACTTGGTGTGGGGTGTATGCTAACGGCAGAGCAGTGTAACCTCGATACCTAAAGCCCCATGTGTGTAGTAGTACTGTAGGGGGCCCAGGGGGGCGGGGGGTGGGACAGTGCTTATTTTTTAAATGATCTCATTGGAGCCTCATTGAACTTGACCATCAGGACACCTCACTGCAGAACACTGAGTGTTTTCATTGCCAGACCATGAGGCGTGGAATTCACGGCCTGCCAGGGTATTTTGTATGAGGTAAAACCCCAGCTGCTGTTGAGTTGAATCTGATTCATGGCGACCCCCTGTGTGTCAGAATAGAGCTGGACTCCATAGCATTTTTAATGGTGGATTTTTTTTTAGAAGTAGATTGCCAGACCTTTCTTCCAAGGTGCCTCTGTGTAGACTCAAACCTCCAATCTTTCAGTTAGCAGCTGAGCACGCTAACCATTTGTACCAGCCAGGGACTCCTTGTAAGGCATAGGAGTGAGGAATGGGAATGGGTAAAAGTCACTGTTCGGGGACTTACCGGACGATGCTGGAGAGCAAAATGCTATCCCTCTGGTCTGCAGCTGATGAACACTGATGCTGCTGGTGTCTTTGACCGCCTTTGTGTGACCTCTGACCTCCTGTCCTTAAATGTTATACCTCCCCACACTCGGCTCCTTTAAACAAGACTGCAACGAGAAGATAAAGCACAATGTTTGCTGTTTACAACCAAGGAACAACTACGTGAGTCCAAAAGTTGACCTTCCTCCCGGCCACTCCTTTTGCATTTTTAACTTGGATTTCACCCGTCTCTTTTTTAATTGAAAAGCACACCGAGAGCTCCCTCTGGAGCTGTCTCACAGGGTCCAGCTGAATGGGCACCCAAAGGCCTAGGATTAAATTTTATCTTTTTTGATAGTGCATCACCTAAAGAGACCAAATGATTAGTAGTGCTCAGCTGTTTTCTATTCCCACATTTGTGTAAGATATACCTTATGTCCCCCTGAGCCTGGGCTAGAACCCTGCTACAGTGGACACTAACATATGGACTGAAAGTCCGCGTCTGGTGACGTTTCCTGGCCATTCTTGGTTCCTGCGTGCTCGGTGGGTTAGCCCCAGCTCTTAGGTTGAGTGCTAGCCCTTGGCTGCTTAAGTCTTGTAGGATTGGTAGTTAGGAGTCTACTTGAAACTGACCTGTCTGTGCATGCTTTTCTTCCGCAACACTTGGCTCATTTTCTTATTTTTTGTTCTTTTGATAGGGTCCTGTTTCCTATGTATGCAAAATAAAAATAAATTTGGGCATGAGCTCTAATTCTTTTGCTGGGGAATAGCAAAGAGGGTAGAGATGGCATTGCTTTTGCTAATGCGTCGTCATTAGTTCAGCCATGTGTGAGGGTGAGGTGGGCTGGAGTGCCAGGAAGTAGATGTTATCAAAGTATATTGGGTACTTCTGGTTCACATTCTAAAAACCAAGTTAAGGAAAACAACAGTCACCTAAGGAGGGTAGGAAGACAGGAGCAATAAAAAGGCAAACTCACAGCTCATACTCTGCTCATGTATTCCTGAGACAAAGATACACTTCCCCTTAGCTAGATGAAACTTGCTTTTACAATCCAGCTCTGCTAGGTTAGAAATTATATTTAAATCACAGACCGAACTGCAAGACAGAGCTGCTAGAGCAAGTCAGATAAATTACTAATTGAGATCAGGTTTACAAACAAGCATTTTATGTGTTGCCGTCTTAAAACTCTCATTCTGAGGCCGCCTGACAAAGCTTGCTGTGGAGAGCAGTTTGGGGATGTCATTGTGTCCACGCTGGGAGATAGTGCACACTGGGAGATAGCATCTCAGTGCTGTGTAACCCAGTACTTCCCAGTTGATACCACTGCCCAAAACAACAACAGAAGCAACAGTTGTCAGCAAGTTGATTTCAGCTAACTCTTGGTGACTTCGTCTGTGTTAGAGGAGACCTGTGTTTCATAAGATTTTCAAAGGCTAATTTTTCAGAAGCAGAGAGATCACCAGGACTTCATCCCGAGGCACCGCTGGGTGAACTCAAACCTTCCAATTAACTACTAAGCACACTAACCATTTGTACCACCCAGGATACAAATGGTGGTGGTGATGGTGGTGTGCCATGGAATCGGTTACGACTCATAGCGACCTGTACAAGGTTCTGAGACTGTAAATCTTTACAGGAGCAGAAAGCCTCATCTTTCTCCCATGGAACAGCTGGTAGTTTCGAAGTGCTGACCTTGAGGTTAGCAGCCCGATTCATACCAGAGCTCCTTGGGTGCAGATATTGGGCTCATCCAAATGCTCTTGTAGCAACAGGATGCACGACTGAGGTGGTCAAGCAGTGTGCCCAACGTGACAACAACCAAGTGGTCATGTCAGAACCAATTTACAGATCTGACTACAACACCCACCTAGCCCCTTTTCCCCGCAAAAAATGGACCTCTGGGTCACTTACAAATCAGAGTCTCAATCTGAGATGGTAAATCAGCCTTCACTTTTCCAATCCTTTCAAAGTTTCATGGACGTTCAAAAGATCCTGAACAGCTTTTAAAGCCCAAATGTGCCAGAACAGAAATGTTGAGTCGTTTCAGAAGTAGACAGCAGTTGGGATTGATTGATCGAGAAAACAGACCTGAGAGAACAGAGTGGCAGTTGGCCCAGAGGAGGCTGTGGGGTCGGAGCTGCAGTGCAGAGCCTCCTCACTGTGACTCAGCAAGTCCCAGGAACAGCAACACCAGGAGGGCTTTGCATTCTTCCCCTGTGTAGGAGGAGGGACAGCTATAGGTCCAAATGACTGCTGTCTCACATGGGTGCTGGCAGGGGGACAGCTGGTATCATTACCTCATTTTAACCATGAGTTAGACATATCCTAATGTAAGAGAGTGATGTCCTTTCAGAACCTTCTCCACATGTGGAGTTTTTCCCACTGTGACCTACCTTATAAAGAAGGAAGTGACTAGGTGTCACACATAACCACCCCCTCTGTCACTGCACTGGGCCCCCTTCGTAGCAACTCTGTGGCTCAGTAGTGGCCTTCAGCCTGTCAGCTAAGAAGGAAAGACCCTTGGCAATCATCTTTTAATGCACACAGGACGAGATCCGTGAGCACTCTGGACTACCTTTGAATTGTAAACAGTGTTTCTGATGTTCATACGACTTTTATTTTGCGTCCACCCAACTTTTTATTTGAAAATTTCCATCTTGGCTCAGGAGTCTTGGTGTGGAGCTGTGGGTTAATACGCTGCACTGCAAGGTAGGTTTCAACCGCAAGGTTGGCGGTTCAAGCTCACCAGCTGCTCCTTAAAAAACTTATGAGGGTCACTATGTGTCAGAACCAACTCGAAGGCACTTAACAACGACAATAACATCTCAGTTCAGAGTCCTGGTGTGGCACTGTAAGATAAGCACAGGTGGTTCAAGCTTACCAGCCACTCCTCTGAAACCCTACACAGGGTGGCTATGAGTTGGAACCAACTCAACATCACTTTACCACCACCACCACCACATCTCGTCTTGGCTGTGCAGGAATCCTTTACCAGTGCCGTTGAGTTGAGCAATTTGTACCATCCAGAGACTCCAAACTATCAGTTCCAACTCATAGCAACTCTGTATAGGGTCTCCAAGGAGTAGCT